GTACCCAGACGATTGGCCAGTGTTGCCCAAACTCGGCCTTCTCAAACAGCAAGCGGAGCACCTCAACATGGGCAGCAAGTTCTACCGGCCCAAGCAAACGACACGGTTCCGCAATGGGCCCAACAGTTGCGGCGTCGAGATGTCGGCGTCCTCTCTCACAGGGCAGGATTGCACGGGCGTCAACGACGGATCCAAGACGACGACTCTCGTCACGTATCTGGCCGACGCCTGGAATTGGGGAGCCGAGATGTTTTGCGAGTGTGAAGTTCGCTACATTGAACAGGTAACGGACAGCCGCGGTGGCTACCGTATTTACTTTGCGTGGCATGGCCGCAACCGCGGCCACTTCAAGGCCAACGTCCGCGGCGACCTTCTGTGGGTGTACGCCCGTGAGGCGGTCTTTCTGGGTGCGGGCGCCATCGGCACCACCGAAATCCTGCTGCGCAGCAAGGCCATGGGCGGTCTGGGACTGAGTGACAGTGTGGGCCAGAACATGAGCGGCAACGGCGATATTTTGGCATTTGGCTACAACACAGAACATCTCACAAATGCCGTCGGCCGCGCCAACCCATCGCCCTATCACCCCGTCGGGCCGACCGTCACGGGCATCATCGACAACCGCGGCAGCAGTGGCAATCCGCTGGACGGGTATGTCATTGAAGAGGGGGCCGTTCCGCATGCATTGGCCGGCTTCTTGCAGACCATGCTGGAGCTGCTGCCAGGATCCACGGCGCCGCGAGGAGAGTCCGTGCTGCAGCGCTCACAGTCGATGCTGGCACGCTTGGGAAGCCGCCTGCTGGGGCCGTACTTCCGGCAGGGTGCGGTCGAGCGGACACAGGTGTACCTGGTCATGTCGCACGACAGCAACCAGGCGGTGTTGTCGTTGAAAGACGATAAGCCCGTGCTCGAGTTTCTTGGGGCGGCGCGCAGCGACCATGTCAAATACATCAACAGCGTGCTGGCCAAAGCGACCGAGGCAGTCGGCGGCACCCTCGTGGGCAACCCGTTCTTTGCGCTGATGGACCAGCAGGTCACTGTGCATCCAGTTGGGTAAGGTGATGGTCCACCGATCCGCAGTATTCTGTACCCCTGACTGGGAATGCTAATTGCAGTGCAGAGGAGCTGCCCTGGCCAGTGACAATACTGGTGCGACGGGTGCCGCAGACCACATGGGCCGGGTCTTTGCAGGGAATGGCAGTGAGGTGCACGCCGGCCTGATCGTCACCGACGGAGCGGCGATCCCGACGGCCCTCGGCGTGAATCCGTTTGCGACGATTGCGGCCCTTGCCGAGCGGTCGGTTGATTTATACGCCAAGTCTCGAGGGCTGACCATCCGTTCTGACGACAACGGGCTGCTTGACTTATTCGGCGAACCTGCCCATCCCTTCCGATACGGTGATGCCTCTCTTGACGACAGCCGAAGTTGGCGAGAAAACAGCAGCTGTAACATGTCTGATGAGACTGGGAGCAAGCTTGACGTCGAGGATGACGATACCACATCAAAGGGAGACGCCGGCAAGTCGCAATATGAGTGGGAGGTTGTGAACAACGACAACGACAGCGACAGCGACACGGACAGCGAGAGTGTGCATCACACAAACAAGATTATTGCGCGCGCAGCCCGAATGCGTGCCGGCGGATTCGGATTCACCGAGGTCATGTCGGGGTTCTTACACCGCTGCGACGGCAGCAACACCGACGCCAGCGCGGAGAACAGCATGAAACAAGACCGGCGTGACGTGTACGAGCTGGCCTACCGCCGAGCCGAGAGTCTGTGCGAGAGCGCGCGGTTCTTCCTCAGCGTGCAGGCCTTTGACACCAGCGAGGTCGTGCACGATCCGGCCCACCAGGGCATGCTGACCGGCACGTTTGTCTGTCCGACACTCCCCGGGTCGCCGTTCATGGTGCAGCGTGGTGCCTTTAGTTTGTTCGTCATGGAACACCAGGCACCGGGCACGCGGAATATGACGTATGACTTTGACCTGCGCGGAACTGATGGCCATACGCTGCACTTCCATGGATACAAGGTCGTCGACTCGTCGGTGGCCCTGGCGCCTCTGCAGCTGTGGCGGGCCACGACCACGCTCTACGTGACCATCACGAGGCGTACCAAAAGACCCCATCAACCACGGGGACTGCTTATGGATGCTTGTGAATCATCGGACGAGGCATGGCGGCATGAACCAGTCCTGGCCAAAGGCATCATGCACGTCAAGCCCACCGATTTCATGTCCGAGATCTTGACCTTGACACCGACGGGCAGCAGCCTGCTTCACAAGGCAATCAGTGCGGCCAGCTTCATGGCATACTTTACACGCAAGTCCCTGGGCCTGTTCCTGGCTCCGCTTGCGGCGCTGCAGTACCCGACACAGACCTACAACGGCTACATCAACCACACACCGCCGACGCGCCTGTGGACCGACATCCGTGCGTCGGATGGTGTCCACTCCCGTCTGTACATGTATGATCCTCCGCCAAAGTTAGTCGTGCGACAGACGAGAGGGGGCAGTGATGCTGTGCCTTGCGTACTCTTTGTACCCGGCGCCTCGGTAGACCACCAGATCTTTGCGCTGCCGACTATTCCGTTCAACACGGTGAACTACTTTACGCGTGCAGGCTACCGTGTCTTTGTCATGGTGCCGCGCATCGGGCAGCTCACGCTGGCCAACAACAGCTGGACGACCTACGATGCACGGCTCGACATTCGCGCGGCATTTGAGCGCATTCGTGCCGAGTACGGCGACCGCAAGGTGTACACTGTGGCCCACTGCATGGGCTCGGTGGCGTTAGCAACCGGTCTCTTGGACGGAACGATCCCCGCAGACTGGCTCCTCGGCCTGGCCTGCTCTCAAGTGTTTATGAATCCCATCTGGAACGCGGCGAACATGATGAAAGCGCTGACTGCGACAAAGGGCCCCTTTGCACTGGACCGCATCTACCGCGCTGTTGCCGGCTCGTGGTTTGATTGTGGCACCCGCCCAGACGACGCGCTCGTCCAGCGACTCCTCAACCAAGCTTTGCGGTTCATGCCCACCACCCAACGCCGCGAGCTCTGCAGCAGCGCCGTCTGCCACCGCATCTCGCTCGTCTATGGCCGCTGCTGGAACCACGCCAACTTGAACGAGGCCACCCACCGCCAGATGGACCGCTTCTTTGGCGGCATCAATATGACCATGCTGCGGCTGCTCATGCTGCAGGGCAGCCAGGGCCATGTCATGACCAACGGCCCCGCATACGACGTGCTAACCACGCCGGACAATGTCCACAAGCATCTCCGCGGCCTGCCCATCTTTCAGTTTGTCGGCGGCGACAATGCCGTCTTGTCGCCGCGGGCCACGGAAAAGACATACGAGATTCTCTGCGACACGTTTGGCACCGCCAATGGCCACTACCGTCGCCACGTGATTCCGGGCTACGGCCATCTCGACTGCTGGATGGGCCGCAGAGCCTGGAAGGATGTATACCCGGTGCTGCGGGCCGAGGTCGACCGTGTTGTGCACGGCGAGAACTACCAGTTTGAGGAGCCGGACGCGAGCGTGTGCCGCTTTACACGCAAGATGGAGGCGGGTGAGTTGTAAGCGAAGCATAAATACTCTGCAGCGTGATGTTACGATTACGTTGCACAGTCCTTGATACCCTCGCTAAAAACTATTGCTGTTTTTCTTCTCCCGGATCAATGCACTATATTCCAAGGCGTCACGGAATTGCCAGCCATGATAGATGATTTATTACTATGTGAGAGCCCGGCGTCCGTTTATTGCATAATCATGCCGCCGTTGGCAGACACGACCTGGCCAGTGCACCACGCCGAGTCAGGCAGCGTCAGCATGCCCACGATGCCGGCAATTTCGGCCGGGTACGCCGGACGGCCGCCGCCCGAAAGAGGCTCGCGCGCGGCCGCGACAACGTCATCGGCATCCACGCCGGCACGCGGCCGCATGAGTGGTGCACGGTCAATCCAGCCCTTGATGTCGTTGAGGAACTCTTGCGTGTTGGATGCGTACATGGGGCCGGCCACGGGGCCCGGGTTGATGGAGTTGACCGTCGCGTGCTCAGACAGTTCGCGCGCCCACGTGCGCGTCATTGCCTCGAGGGCCGCCTTGGAACCGCCGTACACAGACTGGCCAATGAACCCGGCCGTCGATGACACAGACGACAGGTTGATGATGCGTCCCGAGCGCGTGCCGGCAGCGGGCAAGAACGGCTTGGCAGCCTGCACGAGGCGCAGTGGGCCCAGCACGTTGACGCGGTAGGTCTCGTTAAAGTCGGCCACCTTGACGTCCTCGATGCGGTCGTTGCGGGCAATGCCGGCGTTGTTGATCAGGATGTCGATCTGGAACGGCGTCGGGGTACCGTCAGCCGCATCAGGAGCAAAAAAGGCCTTGGCGAGGGCGACGATGCCCTCCGCACCACCGCCTGCAGCCGGATCGCCAGGCTCGCCGCCGACGTCGGCCTGCACGCAGAGAATTCGGACGCCATGGGCAGTGGCCAGCTCGGAACCAAGAGTCTCCGCAAGGACTTTGGACGACGCCGACGTGTAGTTGAGGACAAGGTTACAGCCCTTTGTAGCCAGGTTGCGGGCAATAGCCTCACCGATGCCTGCATGTACGGTGAAGTGTGTCAGTTTCGGTGCATGAATGCTAGAAGTCCGTGATCATAAAAGAGGGGGGAGGGGTTTCAAGGGCATGATCGCATTCTCACCTCGTGATGCACCAGTAATGATGGCCAGCTTGCCAGCCAAGGGTGGTTGGTAGGCCGCCATTGCTTTGTGTGTGGGGGGGCCCGAGAGGGGGAGTATTGGAGGTTGGGAGAGGATGGGAGACTACAAGCTCGAGAGGCTCTGGGCTGTGTTGACTTGACAGAAATAATCAAAACAATGGAGAGTTAGCTAGACTGTTAAACAAAGGGGGAATTTCTACAAAGTATTTTAAAAGGAGACGGGACAGGGACTGACGAGCTCTTGTATGGAAAGCGCGAGCCGCCAACGTCACCCGGTCACGATGCGGACTGCTAACAAATGCGCCCGCAGTCGGCCTGATCGTGATGAGGGCCAGGCCAGTCTGGGCAGGTGGGTGCACCCGACCCCAAACCCCAAACCCCGCGCCAGTGACACTGGTGCTTACCAGAGGTTGCGCGAGTCGCTCTTTCTTAGCCCGGAATTACAGCGAGGCGACTGAGGGAAATCAAGCAGCAGACAATACAGGGCAAAAAGTGGAGACCGCCGCCAAATCTATTCCCATCAATCCATTCGTACGAAATCCTCCCCGACGGCCGCTAATTAGGTTCTGCGACTTCCGCCCTCCACCGCGATCTCACCGACGACCGACATCGACAACTGCCTACGGTTTCCATCACAGACGACACCTCTATATCGACCACTCCCTCTGTTGCACACACAAATACGCAGACGATGGATATCCGACTCCTGCAGGCGTCGGATCTCCCCCTGATCCAGCATGCCAACCTCGAGAACCTGCCCGAAAATTACTTCCTCAAATACTACCTTTACCATGCTATGACCTGGCCCCAGCTCAGCTACGTCGCCGTGGACGTCAGTCGGCCTGCCAAGAGCGCCTACGACCACCCCAAGATTGTCGGCTACGTCCTCGCCAAGATGGAGGAGGAGCCCACCGACGGCGTCCAGCACGGCCACATTACCTCGCTCAGCGTCATGCGCACGCACCGCCGCCTGGGCATCGCCGAGAAGCTGATGCGACAGGCCCAGCTGGCCATGGTCGAGACCTTTGGCGCGCACTATGTGAGCCTGCACGTGCGCGTGTCCAACCGCGCTGCCATCCACCTGTACTGCGACACGCTGGGCTTCCGCAACGAAAAGACCGAGGCCAAGTACTACGCAGACGGCGAGGACGCCTTCAGCATGCGTCTCGAGCTGAGTGCCATCCGCGAGCAGATCGAGGACGGCAAGGACAAGACCGACGAGGAGGCACAGGACGAGGGCGAGCCCGTGGGCGACGTCGGCTCGACAGAAACAGTGGCAGCGGCCAAGGCGGACGCGGCCGCATCAAGACAGGCCGACAAGAAGGTCAAGGTCAAGGTGGGCCGCGGCCTGGGCGTGGGCGAACTGGTCGAGCGCGTGGAGGCCAAGTCGTCGTAGGGGACGAGCCCATGGACGTGGACGTGGACGTGGACGTGGATACCGACATTGAATTGGCGCAACGTTTTGTGATTGTGGGGTCGCTGCGAGGCGTTTGCTTCAAGTGTACGGAGTATTACTACGAGAATAGGTTTAGACAAAAGCAATATCAAACATGACTTGGTTTAACTTTGTGGAACGACGAAATTGCATTTGCATTTGTTGATAATATCCAAAACGGAAATGAAATCGGTCCTACTATGCTAATGCCTTTCCTTCTTTTCTAGTTCGCGGGCATAAGTCTGGTCTGCATCGATGCGGAGCAGCTCAACGTGCTGTGCCAGCATCTCCAGTTCGTTCACCAGCTGCTCGGTCTCGCGCCGCTGAACCTGTACTTTGGGATCCTCCTCGCCACGCTCGCCCCGTGCATTGATCATCCGTTCTAGATTCTGTTGCATCTCGGCAAGCTCCGCCTGTTTCTCCGCCATGGTCTGCTCGGCCTCCTCGGCCGCGCGATACTTTTGCGCGGCCGTGGACACAGTGGCGGGCGAGGTGTTGTCCGAATACCGTGGTGCTGGCGGGCCACCAGCGCTGGGGCTTACTGCTGGGACTTCGAGCTCTGCGTCAGGTTCTGCAGTCCAACCGAAACCACGGCTCCGGCCAAATCCGCCGAAACTACTGCCACCACCCCGGCCATCACCCGGGCCGCCCCATCCACCGCCACGGCCACGACCTAATCCGCCTCCACCACGGCCAAACATGTTGCCTAGTAGAGGTGCGACAGCCCCACCAAGACCGCCACCGAGACCAGCACCTCGATTGCCAAAGCGAGCTGCCATAGCGTCGCCAATCTGCTGTGCAATGCGGGCAGGGTTGGGGCCAGGAGGGCCTCGTTGGAATGGGATTCCAGGGACACCTGGAACGCCGTGACCATTATATACGCCCGGCACCTGTGTGCCGGCAGCATAGAATGGCTCGTTGTCTCCATGCGCATCGTAGTGTCGGTCGTAGCGGTGGCCATGCGGGTCGTGCGTATGGTGGTGCGGCTGGTGGTGACGGCCACGGCGGCCATGGTGGCTATGGCGGCCATGGTGGCTATGGCGACCATGGTGGCTGTGAGCAGCATGTTCTGCGGAGCCGGCTGTTGGCGTCCCATATCCGCCGCCGACAGCTGGGATCGTTGTCACAGGCACTGGACCGTTGCCGCTCCGGCGATCCTGCCGTCGACCCTCTTTGCGCAACTGCTTCTCCTTTCGCCGCTCCTGCTTATGCAGCTGCCGCAACTGTCGACGCTCTTGTCTGCCCTGGCGCTTCGCCTGGCGCCGCTCATGCTTGCGCTGTCTCCGCATATGCTTGCGAGCCCGGCGCTGTTGGCGGTACACTTGCTTTTGGCGACGCTTCAGCTCCTTCCACTGTTTCATCATGTTCTTCACTTCGACACGGAGTGCCGCTGCCTCAGCCGGTTGACTGACAGCTCGCACGGGCCCAGATGTTAGACCCGGCATTGAGGGCCCGGGGTAGGCGGGTGGTGCTCCCCGTTCGTCGACGGACCGGATGCCTTCGTTAGCCGCCTTTACGTCGTCACGGGTAATCGGCTGGTCTGGGTGATTGAGCCACTGCTGAAGATAGGCGTGAGCCGCAGGCAATTGGCGGTCGTCGAGCTTGTTGTAAGGCGGCAGAGAGCCGACCGAGGCGGCGGACTCACTGGAAGAAGAGCCTGAGTCGGACGACGAGCTTGACTGGGAGGAGGACGACGAGGAGGAGGAAGAGGACGACGACGACGTTGTTGACGAGATCGATCCTCGGCGGCGGGGTGGAGGGACGACATTTGCCGCTGCTACACCACCGTACTTTGCATCAACAGACCTACCACGAGAGCCTGGCATACCAAGACCAACATGGATGCCCGGTGGTGGTGGCGGCGGCGGAGGTGCCGCTGGGATAATGGTGCGGTTGCCGTAGCTGATGCCGCGCTCGTCAAACACAAGACCGCCAATCCGCAGGCCCGTACGGTCGGCCACAAACCGGTTGTTACCAAAGACAACACGGTCCCCATCCACCGTCATGCCAGCAAATGACAGTGCGCCTGGGCGGGGAGCATCTGCTGGTACTTGTGAAGCTGCCGGGGGACTGATTGGCGTCCGCATAGTGTTTGGTCGAGACGAGTCACTGGCAGCCAAGGATGCAGCGGCGGCTGTGTCGACCGGCGACGGAGTCCACTGCTGTGCTGGGATCTGATGGTCATGGCGAGCACCGCTTAGGTCGTCACGCAGGCGCACGATGACACCACGGGGACCAAAAAACCCATCGTTCCACTGCCGCAACGACGCGGCGACCTCGAGCTGCTGCTGGCGGGAGAGAGCTGAAGACACGGACGGAGTTGTCGGGGTCGAATGTGGTTGATCGTTTGCTTCCATGTCGATGAGCTGGATGCCGTCTGATGCACTGTCACGCTGCGTCCGCAGCCATTCCAGATGGGCTGTCGACGGTGAATTGTCATCTTCTTCAGCGCACAGCTTGCGGTCAATCACAGCATTGTTGTGGGCCTCTGTGACTTTCCCCGACAGGTGGCTATGCGGCAGCAGATAGCTCACAAACGTCGACCAGTCGTCGGCGCGCACGTCGCGCTGCAGAAGCTGGGTAGCGGGGAAGGGAAGGTCGCTTGGTGATGTATTTGCTGCAATGGCCAGTGGCAGATCGTAGACAAAGTACTGGTGTTCGGCATGGGCATCATCAAACGAATCAGTTCCAGGCGAAGGTGGTGGAGCCGGCCGTGTGGCAAAGTAGGCAGCGGCCGATGCAGCCGATGTGGCAATGTCAGGGCCCAACTCAAGTCCGCCGCCAGGGCTGGGGCCGGCATCAACCGCGACCGTGTTCGGTTGTTGAAGTTCGCGTGTCGTAATGGAGGGTGGAGGTGATACAGGCGGTGTGTAGATGATCAGCTCGTCATCGGGAGACGACGTTGTCGTGGACTGCGCTGCAGTAGAACTTCTAGCTGTTGAGTGGCTGTCCGCAGTCTGTGAGTAAATGTCCGTCTCCGAATATGGTGGAGGCGGCGCGTCGTCGTGTGAGGCCATATCTGCTGTGGCCTCGGAGGCGGGAAGTACCGATGGCTGAAGATGTGATATGCTGTGTTTTGAACAATGCTCGACGGTATTAGGGAGCCATCAACATAATAACAACTAAGTAAAGTAAAGCCAATGTATGCAAGAACTAGACAAAATAGAAGGGAGAAACAATGAAGCGTGATCGTAGGATCACAAGGAAGAAGATGACGCGGGATGGTAGGACGTATATATCACTAGATTGACGTTGGCATTAGGGAGGAGACGGCGACAGCCAGCGCATGTTAAGAGGATGCGTTGAGCCTAAGGTGGTTGAGGAGCTGGCTTTCATCAGGGCGACAGGGCAAGCTGCGACGGGCCATTTTGCTCGTGTTCTTGGCCTTTCTGGCGCCTCTCACTGTGTCGACTCTTAATCGACGATACGCTCGGGTCATCATTCCTTCCTGTTTTACGGTTGCCTTCTTTCAATTCCTTCCTCTTTCGGTCCCAGCACCCTTCCCAGTTTCGTACTGTTACATCAGTACATCAGGAAAGTGCGGCCAGCATGGCAGGGAGCTAGCCCTAAACTAGCGGCCAGACCGACCCCTCAATGTCCTGAATGGTCGTTTGGAGGTTGCCTAAAGTGACGCGGCATTCGTCGATGTTGTGGAAGTGTTTAGAAAGGAAAGGAGCCTCTCATCGACCTGTCATATTCTGCAGTTCCCTTCTAAAGGGCAACGGGCAGCTGCCAATGTGAAAATGATTTCCCAACATTGGGTAATTTAGGTGAGGCCTCATGTGCGGCTCCTCCTCGCTTGACTGTTCAAGATGGCTGGTATTATTGGCTACAATCGCGCTGCCTGCCACAGGGCTGACGCCTATGACGTGGACCGCAGATATGGGATTTGACTTCCCATTTTGGATCTGCATGACGGAGGATGTCGTACTTTCTCGCAAGGCTATATGTATTTGGAGGCTTGGATTCTGCCTCCGTTGTCTATTTTCCTTGTCTTTTTCCGCACCCTCTCGCTAAATGTCAAACCGTGAATAATGGGCTGATGATAATCACTGGCGTTTTTTATTACTGCATTGGCTCATTGTTTGTACAGCTCCAGCTCCTCCCTCTTGTAGTGATCAGCGATCACGCTCTCGAGGTAGTCTTTTGTATGCGGGCCACTGCTTTGTTAGCAACACGTACCAACAAGGAAGACAACAAGAGATAAAGATGTATCGGCCACTCACAGGTTAGTCACGTAGATGTCAATCAGGCTCGCCGGCAAAAACTCGGTTACCGCCGTCTCGATCGCAAGCCCGCCATCGCCCACGAGGCTGCCGTCAGCAAATCGTGCGAGCTGGCCAGGCTCACCCCACTCGACAAAGGCATCCGGGTTCGTCAGCGCCTCCGGCGACAGCTTGTACACGCCGCCCACCACCAGCACCGTGCGGCGCTGCGCCCGTGCAGCCCGTGCCAGACGTAGACTGCCTGCGCCCGCCAATATGCCGCCGTTAGCGGCAATTGCTCGTGCATCGATTACAACGCGGTTGACACGGGACATGTACGCTGAGACAGCTGTGCTGCTGAGGTGGACAATCGGGCATTTGGCCGCGCCAAGTCGCTTGTAAAGGGAGCTGATGCCAGACGTTGGTGGCGCGGTGGCGCCCACCAAGTACAGGGTATACCGCCGCCGCGCAGCCGCCTTTATCAAAAACTTTTCGATTGTTCGCGAAGGTTCGGCATAAACCATCACCGTGTCGCCTGGCCGGATCTGACTCTCGGCAAAACCGGCAATCTGGTCGTCTGCCTGGCCGATCTCGTCCTTGATTTCTTCAATACCATCCAGAATCTCGTCGCGCAGCGCGGCGGTGCGACTGCTTTCTCCCTTTCCTCCATGTGTAGGACCTCCCGGCACGGGTGTCGAAGCCCCCGATCCTGCCGAGCTGACCTCGCCGCTGGCTGTGACAGACGCTGGCTCCACAGCCGACAAAAGGTTGAACATAGACTGGTACGGACCTGTCACAATCAAGGATGGTTGCCGTGTTGTGCGCGCAAGTGCTGTGTAGGAAGGCGATGCAACTATACTCGGCACCTGCCCGGGCTGTACTGAGTCGGCCCGCAGGTCGGATATGCTGCCGGACATGCTGCCGGCTACGCTCGGATCCTCGCCATTCTCGGTCCGATCTGCCTCAACCTCGTCGTGGATCAGACCCAGTACCCGCCGTACAATGTTTCCAATGACCAGCTCCTGCGGTTGTGCGTCCACGAGCTTGCGTCCCGCCTGGCACACACGGTCCAACAGCTGGTCGACGTCGGCCCACTTGGCCTTGGACACCACGAGCGACATCACATGTGCCGTCACCAGCGCGCACGACTCGGGTCCACGGATCTGGCGACGCTTTAGCAGACTGCACGCCTGCTCAATGGCCGCCTCAAGGTGCAGTTTGGCATGGAGGAAGGAGTCGAGGGTTGGCGCGTAGCCATGTTGTGTAGGCGCCATTGCAAGGGCTACGAAACGCCCACTTAGTCAGTTTATCGGTATGTAGCTTGTGTGTCGAGTTTGCTCTTTGGATTGTCGTTGTGGATGTTCTGTCGCCCTGTTTGTACTGTTCCGTACTGATGCTCGAAACTTCAAAAATGAGTCAAAATGCTCCGTTTTGGCGGGGCTGCCAGACAGAATCGCGACCCCAAACACACTATAATACGACGCATAGGCACTGTACACGCCCACATAGCTTACTATGCCGTATTCGGAAAGGCCATGATTAGTCACGTAGTCCAATTCTTATCGCGTCCGATAAAACACATGGACGGTTGTTGATAAGAGATAAGCCGCCATGCCCCTCACAATTTTTTAACTAATTTGTGCGGAGACAGGAAAGAACGATTGAATGCACGCAGCTGAAGGTTCGTTGCGGCGCGTCTTACTGAGAGAGCAAAAGGAAGTGCAATGCGCCGCGCAATAATAGATAGGGGAAGAGCCATAGGTCGGTGAAATGTCCAAATTATTGAAGCTAGAGACAGTATTTAAATGTGACAATTTGAAAAACATAGTGGAATGCCGTGAACAGCGTGCCCTAATGACGGTTCCCTTCTTTGTTAAGGTACGTCCGCTACAGCATTTACTTGCCTGCCCCCTCTCTGTTAGGGTACGTCCCTATTCGTAATCATATATGCAGTGTCTCGCTCTTGCAGTATGTTAAGTTAGATATTGCGTTTTGCTCCTTCCCCTAGCAGAAGGCTACGATTGGTTACCATGCTCGCGCCATGTCTCGCTGCCTGGGCTGTTCTTCGTGCGCTGGGGAAGCTTTTAGTGTGCTGAAGCATACGAAGCATACCGTATTCCACAGACCCAATCAGCGACTGCTTTTGATTTCCTTGTGTTTGTTTCCCCCCTTTATCTTTTCCGATTTATTCAAATGGAGGCTTCCATTCCTTCCTTCCTTTTTATTCTTTTTTCTTGCATTTGGTTACCCTCTTGCTTCCCCTTCCATTTGGTCTCGTCGCGAAAGGATTAACCCCCTCCACCCATATATTCCCAAGCTGCCTCGTTTCCGTACACATATTCTTCAGTACCATTTCCGTACCCATCTTGCCTTTCATTCTTTTCTCCACCATGAGTCTCCTCGAAGTGATACAGCGTATCGTTGGGCCATGGCTCATGCTAGCTGACTCCGCGTACTACCTGCCCGTCACCATCGTGGGCCTCGTTCGATCGGGTAATTGGTCTACCCTTTTCAACTGGAGCAAATTCCAGTCGGCCTGGTTTGGTCGCTTCTGGGGCTACATGGGACCGCAAGTGCGGAAGGGTGTCGAGCCTATTGTCGTTCCCCTCCTCAAAGGGCGCGTCAGCCACGGTCGCAAGCTCAACGACGGCGAGGAGATATCCACCGCGCCTCTGCCTGTGAGCGGGACCGTCATCGAGGTTGGCCCCGGCTCTGGCATGTGGGTGTCAGTCTTCAAGGAGATTGGCATCGCCACCCAAGCGACTGCCGATGGCGCTGTTCGCCAGAGGAAGGGCATTGCATCCACATCCACTGCTGTGAGCACATCGGGGGGCGTCACAAAGATTTACGGTGTCGAGCCGAATGCGGGCGTGCATGATGGGCTGCGCCAGCGCGTACATGACGCCGGCTTGGAGGATGTCTATGAGATTGTGCCTGTCGGGATCCAGGATGTTGCCGCCAACTCGGACGCCATCACGGCCAACAGCGTCGATTGCGTCGTCACAATTTTGTGCCTTTGCGGCATTCCGTCGCCACGGGATAACATCCGCGCCCTGTACGACTACCTCAAGCCTGGCGGCCGCATGTACGTCTTTGAGCACGTCTGCAACCGCAAGCACTGGTCCATCTATCTGTACCAGAAATGGATCAACCTGTTCTGGCCGATCATGGTTGGCGGCTGCGAGCTCCAGCGCGATACCGGCCGCTACTTGCGCGACGCTGGTCCTTGGACGAATGTTGACTTGTCACCACTTTCCGGCGAATTGTGGTTCCAATCAGTCCCTCACGTTGTTGGTGTCTTGACAAAGTGAGTGCGAGTGGACGAAAATTGCGAATTGGCGTCCACGATCCTAGCGTGCCTCAAGACGATATCTTATGACACCCGACGACGCACGAAACTGTTCCCACATCCCGAATTCACTGATACGCTTTTGATATTTCTCTATCCTCTTGTTCTTGTTACTGTCATGTTTCAGCTATGTACTCCTTTTCGTCCACTCTCTATCATAAATGCCCATTACTTCTTGTGCACTGCTACATCAATTTGGTTTTGTGTCAAGTCACAAGACTTATAGTTGTTCGTGTTTCGTTTTCCTTTTTTTTATTTTCTTTTTTATGTTGTATGTTTGTCTGTCTCGCATTTCTGTACTACAAACTATAGTCTGTCCTTTCAATTTTTAAATTTGACTGTATTCATTCATTCGGTACATCTGGCCGGTATCAATGTCTAGAAGCGAGCAGTGACTGCAGGGGGCTTGTTGTTGAAGATGTTGTCAATCTCCTCCAAAATTTCCGGCGTAAGTTTCTTGTACACAGCCACCGCCTTCACGTTCTCGTAAACCTGTGCAGGACCACTCGCGCCCGTAATCGCCGAGCTCACATTGGGGTTTGCTAGCACCCAGGCGAGGGCCAGGATGCTCGTCTTGGTCTCGAGCCGTTCAGCAATGGGCTCCAGTTTGTTGACGTTGGCGATAATGGCATCCCACTGCTCCTTGCCTGTGCGCTTCCAGTAGCCCTTGACAAAGTCGATCTTCTCGTTGGCAAAGCGCGAGTCGTCCGGAATGCCGTTCTTGTATTTGCCCGACAGGATGCCCTGCTTCATGGGCGAGAAGACAGTCAGGCCTAGGCCCGTTTCGCGGTATAGGTGCGCAAACTCCTGCTCGACCTTGGCGCGGTCAATGATATTGTATGCAGGCTGTTCCATCAGTGGACCGACAAGGCCCAGTTTGTCGGCGTACCGCCAGGCCTGCGCAATCTCATCGGCGTTCCATTCAGACGTGCCCCAGTACAAGACCTTACCGGTGTCGATCAGGTGGTTAAAAGCACGGACGGTTTCCTCCATCGGCGTCTGACGATCGGGTCGGTGGGCGTAGACGAGGTCAACGTAGTCCAGCTGAAGGCGCTCCAGCGATTGATTTATGCCTTCAATGATGTGCTTGCGCGAAAGGCCGACGTTATTGGTACGGTTGCTGCCAAAGGCACCTCCCCAGTAGATCTTTGTGGAAATGACTAGGTCGTTACGCTTCCAGCCGAACTTGCGAATGGCTTCGCCCATCACCACCTCGGACTCGCCCTCAGAGTAGGCCTGATGACTATTAGATGCGTATACCAAGGGACAAAATTTTTAAGGAAAGCGAATCTTACCTCAGCACTGTCAAAAAAGTTGACACCACAATCGTAAGCGGCCTTCATGCACGCAAAAGTGCCCTCTACAAAAAGAGAGAGTCAGCAAGACATCATACCAGACAGCATGCACCTCTACCCCCGCGCCTGTCACAGAAACCGCCACATCTCCTAAAATGTCAGCAGTAACACACCCTTGTCCACGTGGCCACCGTAAGTCAGCCAGCCGCCCAGCGAAATGGCCGAGACCTTGAGACCGGACCGGCCCAGAAAGCGGTACTCCATCTCCGGAAGGCCCTCGGGTTTGGTAGCCATTTTGTATGCTTTTGATTGGAGAGATAGGTAACTGATAAATAAGTGCCTAGATTGAACAGATGAGTGTACGTTGTACGTGTGAAGGTGATGGAAATTGTGCGTTTAAAGTAGTAGGGGTTGTCCAAGCTCTTTCAATGAGGGGCAGAAGCAGGCTTTATGGGATTTCGCCTTGCCGTGTTCCGTTCACTATCTCCAATCTCCATGACCATGGCCGCCTTGCCTGGGTGCTTTGGTCCAGTTTGGGAAGGCCGTCCCGCCAGAATAGTGCCGGGGCCGGGGCCGTCCTGGCGTTGCTTTGGTCCTTTTGCTCACAAATCAAACAAGAAAAGTGGCCAAAGTAAGGAGCGAAAAGCAAAAGGTGGGGACATGAGGAAAGAGCGATCCGTGGGAGTGAAGCGGGGGCGAAAGCAAAAGCAATGGGTACCAGCTGGTTAATATCGGCGGCACAAGTACAACAGCAGCGAAAACAGACACGGAGAGAATCAAATGGAGAGGGACGCAAAAAGCGGGCCATTGAGGTTTCAAGTCTCTCGGCAGCCACTTCCGGCGAAAAACAAGAGAGAAGGGAAAAGGACAGCACGTGGTGAAACAGATCACGACGAGCGCAAGTGGTCTCTTATAGCGGATGGCTGCCTAATACGGAAGTAACAACAAACAGCGGTGCAACCCAATCCGTGGACGGCGACGCGCACTATCAGAAACATTTTGTTCGTCAGGAACTCATAACTAAAATCGTCGTCAATAGAATGGCGCTTCCAACTAAGTGACCTGCATCTGTAGACGATGTTCCGCCCTGTTCCCATTGCACCATCCGTCAATGTCTATGAAGCCTTCCTTCCTGATTTGGATGTTTGTCCAGAGCATTCAGCAGAGGCAGTCACGACCGGCGGGTTCCTTCCCTTCCTGTGCAGTATACGCAAAACTCTCGTTGGTGCGTTCCGTTTTGTATGATTCGGCGTAAAAATGTGCTGATAACTTTTCTTCTCGCGTTTTGAGAATCTTTTCCTTCCAAACTCTTCTTCCATTTGCATCTCAATAGGGTTTCCCGATAGCGTCTTGTACTCTGTTGAACAGATTTGTACAAACTACACGCCACCTAGAAAGGGTATTTCGCCGTTTGGTAGTTTCATATCTTCTTGTTTGCCTCATTTGTTTTCTCTTTCCCTGATTTTGCAAGTTGCAATACACATCGACAAATGTACTGACGCCCATCGAGCAGCAGAATCCATACAATGTCGTGGAACAACGCTCCCGACGGCGGCCCTGCCACTGAAGGCTACGGCGGCAGTGGTGGCTTTGATGGCTTCAGCAATGACGCCAGAAACTACGGTGGTGATACTGGATTTGGTGGAGGCGACTTCGGTGACAGCGGCGGTGGTGACCGTGCCTGCTTCAACTGCGGTCAGCCGGGCCACAACAAGGCGGACTGCCCTGTTCCCCGCCAGTTTTCTGGCGAGTGTAATAGTTGCGGTAAAGAGGGCCACATGTCTAAGGACTGCCCTGATGCCGGCCCCATGGTCTGCCGCCGCTGCAAGAAGGCGGGCCACATGGCTCGTGAGTGCAGCATGCCCGTGGTCTGTCCTCGCTGCGGTGAAGGCCATCATGTGTCCGAATGCTCCATGCCCATGATTTGCCGCGTTTGCAGCGAGGAGGGTCATTTGGCCAAAGACTGCCCATCTGCTCCGCCCCGTGTCTGCAACAACTGCCAGGAGGAGGGTAAGCCTATCCCAAAACAAGTGCATGTAATCCTGTCCACTCAGTAACGCGTCTGCTGATCACCTTGTACCTCCACCAGGCCACGAAACAAAGGACTGCAAGTCTCCCCGCAAGATCATCCGCGACGACGTTCCCGAAAAGGCACCCGATAAGGCCCTCGAGATGATCCGCGCGGCTGTGGCCGAAAAGGACCTCGATGATGTCAAGGCAGCCTTCCTGACGTACGTCAAGGCTTGTCCCGATGTGACGTACGTTGAGATGGAACAGATGTTTCGCAACGAGAACATTGGCGTCTACCTCATTGGTGTTGAGCGCAGTGACCTATCCGTCACCCTCACGAACATGGATCTTCAGGGCAACCTTGATCGCAAGTACACCGTCACATTCCGCTTCCAGGACAAGCCTTCGCGCCCCCGTGAGAAGTCTATCTGGCCTGCCAATACTGAGGAGAACTTGGCCCGCTTGGCCAATGGCGGTGAACCCGTTGCCCGTGGCATCCCGCTCTGCATGAACTGCCGCGAGCTCGGCCACACCTCGCGCAGCTGCCCCAACGAGCGCATGGAAAACACCGAGCACGCCTCTGTTGCTTGTCAGAACTGTGGCAGCGAGGGTCATCGTCTGCGTGATTGTAAGCAAAGCCGCCTTCCATTTTCACAACCATGGTCAACGATTTACCCAAAGCAGCACTGACACACATTTAGGCAAGGCTCCTCGTGTCGACAAGTTTGCTTGCCGTAATTGTGGCCAAAGCGGCCACACCTCCAAGGAGTGTAAGCTTCAAGCCAATCGGTCTCGTCTCTTCCATCACGAACATCATCAGCGAAACTAACTTTTGTTTTCTCACTCTTATCGCAGGCACCGAGCCCCGTTCAGCTGAGGGCGTTGAGTGCCGCAAGTGTAGCGAAAGTATGCAATCAAACTTCCCTTGGGTGTTGCATGTGTTTCATTTTGAGCCGACAGCTAACAAAGGTCAAGCCGGCCACTTCTCGCGCGATTGCCCTCGGGGCGGCGGTGGTGGCGGCTGCCGTAACTGTGGTCAAGAAGGCCACATGGCCCGCGACTGTACGGTACCACGCAAGATTGTGTGTCGCAACTGTGACCAGGAGGGTCATACGTCTCGCGATTGTCCGGAGCCCCTCAACATGGAGAAGATGCAGTGCCGCAACTGCGACGAGTATGGCCATATGTCCAAGGACTGTTCCCAGCCTCGCAACAGTACGTCAACCTGTCCCTTTTTGTTTTGAAGGTCTGCTTTGCCGTTGCGATACTAACAGCGAACTCTTGTAACACAGTGGAACGTGTTCGCTGCTCCAACTGCAATGAAATGGGCCACTTCCAGTCCAAATGCCCGGGGATCAACAACGGCGGGGACGGCGGTTTCGATGACCGCTTCGGCGGCGGGAATGACTTTGGCTCGACCGCAGATGTCGGCCAGGTTGGTGGCGGCGGCAGTGGTTGGTAAAGGCCATGGCTACCAAGAAATCTGCCCTTGCATCCCGTACTTTATTGCGGTGGACGATGGCAACGACGATTGTAACGAGTGACAGAACAGGAGATATTGAAATGCCAGTACTGTGGCACAGATCAATGGCAACCGATGCCCGCGAGGAAGACGTGTGGAAAGGATGATTTTTTTTCAGAGAAATGTAACAATACCTCAATAGAGGTTGTATGTACGAAATACTCATATGTACTCAATACCTACTTTTGTTACGCTTAAGCTGCCACATACATGTTCCTCTACATATGTTGCCTACTCCTTAATTGCCCCAGGTCGAGGCGGTGTCTCAGTGCGGACCACGCGGGTCAACGAACAGCCAACGGCGACCGAATAGCACTTCCCTTTCAGAGGTTTAGGTGGCGGAATACGAAGTATGTTCGTACGTTTAGAGGCTAAGAGTGGGGTTGGTTGCTAAGCCCGCCAGTTGAACCACTAGAACGAGCCAAAAGGCACCTAAACAACGCATTGCTTGTGCCCTGTTCCTTCTGTGCCTGGATTTGATCTTATCTTGATTGTGCGACATAGTGTTGTCCCTATTCTTGAACCGTTTCCTTTCAACACCTCTCTGCACGATCGTTTCGGCTCCCGACCCTTCTTCAGGTTACGTCCTGGGAGTGACCATTCCTTTCTATCCTCGCTTCTCCTACTAATCAATCCGCTCTCGAATGTTGACCTGACGACTACCTATCAGCTCTCCATTCGATCCCCAAGACCTCATCTGGGACCCCTTTTCAGGATATTCAAGATGGCATTAACCGCTTCTCCGGCGACAGCGTCCTCACTACAAGCTAACAGCAACGGCGCAACGGCAAGAGTCAAGGCCTCTGCCGTGCCTAGAGATACAGAGTCAAATGGCACGGCCAATGGCGAGTCTAACGATGCCTCCGCTCCTACCAACACGATTGAAGCGCAAGCGAAATATCGCGACTTTTTCTGGACATACACCGAGGAGCCGCACCGCTCACGGCGACTCGCCATCATCAAGGCACATCCAGATGTCACCAAGCTATGCGGTCCCGAGCCTCTGACCAAATACCTTGTCGTTGGTGTGGTGTCCCTACAGGTTGGTCTTGGTATTGCCCTTGCCAGAGCGGGCTACGGCTTCTTCTCGTGGCCGTTCTGGGCCGTTGCGTACGTCGTTGGTGCAACGGCCAACCAGAACCTGTTCCTGGCCATCCACGAGATCTCTCACAACCTTGCTTTCCGCTCGCCATTGGCCAACCGCCTACTCGCGATCGTGGCCAACCTCCCGATTGGCATCCCCTACAGCGCGTCCTTCCGCCCCTACCACCTGACGCACCACAAGTCGCTCGGCGTTGACGGCCTCGACACGGACTTGCCGACCGCTGCGGAGGCTTTCGTTCTCGACTCGATCCTCGGCAAGGCCTTTTTCTGCACCTTCCAAATCTTCTTCTATGCCCTTCGTCCTATGGCGGTCATGCGCATTCCCTTTACTAAAATCCACGCTCTGAACGTCGCAGCTCAGGCCGTCTTTGACTACGTCCTTGTCAAGTCCTTTGGCATGCAGCCGCTCCTCTACCTCCTTCTGTCGTCGTTCCTCGCCGGGTCGCTGCACCCCCTGGCCGGCCACTTCATTGCGGAGCACTATGTCTACGACACCGTCACGCCGGATGCCAGTGACCCGTCCAACGGGATCCCCATCCCTGAGACCTACAGCTACTACGGGCCTTTGAACATTTGCGCGTACAATGTCGGCTATCACAATGAGCACCACGACTTCCCCGCGGTGCCATGGACGCGGCTGGAGCGGCTGCGGGCCATGGCGCCCGACTTCTACGACAACCTGCCTCACCATGTCAGCTGGACGTACGTGATTTGGCGTTTCATCTGGGACGACACTGTCGGGCTGCGGTGCCGTGTGAAGCGCAAGACGGGTGGCCGACTGGTGGGCGGTGCCAAGATTGCGGAGTGGACAGAAACCGAGGTACAGGCTTAAATGGATCGATGGCAACAAAAGGATATTTGGCCGCCTGTGTGGAATTCTTAGATAAGGTGTGGTATTGATTATTAAAAGTATGAGTGAAACAATACGGCGTTCGAGAACACGTTAACATTGTTAACCAAAAGCGACAATAAGTATATATTAATAGAATTCGATTTGTGTCCCTTCTAATACAGATCGATATTTACGAATCTTTTTACAATACAGTTGAATTGGAAACAGCGAGGGAAGACGTAAGTAGTGTAACTTCCTTCCGTTCGGTTTTTTATTGAATTTTATTTACTTATTTATTTTGGTTTACAAAAAATGGTGCCAATTATTTCAAAATGTAATAACAATAACCTAATTATACCTAAAATATATTTTCATAATATCGGACACGAGTTCATATTATATTCCTATTTTTCTATCGATCGTTCCCTATCACTTAAACTCATATCGTGGATGGAAACAGTCTACACACTCTATCAAACCGTACACCAAATAACGAATCTGTCTATAACTCCTCATGAAGATGGTCGCCCTCGGCCGCCACTGTTCGATCGGGCCGCCCGCTGTCTTTGTGTAGGTCGACGCCAATCTTGCCCCGCCACTTTTGCCACAAGCTCCAGAACTCCTTCTCCATACCAGACTCCATTTGGTCAGGCAGCACAACAGCGTACTCAACGTAGAGATTGCCAAACTCGGTCTTGTGGTATACGCTGTCACTGTCCTCGTGCCACACGGGCATACCCTCGCCGGTTATGGTGTCGACATGGCCCGGTTGCACGACTTGGCCACGAGTGCGCTTCAGCTCTACAACGTGACCGTCAAGGTGCGTCAGGTTTCGCGTCCAGTCGCCCATCCACGCCTCCCGCAGCGAGATGACTTCCTTCCAGAACAGATCGTTGCCGCGACGGCGGAAGTGAGCGCCGTCAACATGATCTGGGTTGTCCTCGGCCGTCGGCTCCTTCTCACCCAGTGATACAATCAAGTCGCCGGCCACGTAATCGGGACTGGCGTCCGCCTCGTTCTCGTAGACAATGCGCGTGTCCTTGGCGACGCCGCGCTGTATAGTCACCGAGACGGGCGTCGGCCGGCGCACAACGCGCTGGCCCTGGCACACGGGGCACACATGCTTGACAGACTTGCCACGGCCGCCGCAGCGATCGCAGTGCATCTGCACCTGCTGGAACATCCCTGGTGCCAGCTGATGCTTCTGGATGACCACACCGCGCCCTTGGCACTTGTCGCACGTGTCCACCACCTTATCAGCGGCGCCCGTACCGTCACAGTGTTCGCAAATCTCTTGCTTGTCCCAGTGGAACTCGACGGTCTGGCCGTTGTAAAAATCGCGGAGGGAGATCTGCACCTTGAGCTCGAGGTTGGGACCACGACGTTCGCTCGCCTGGCCAAAGTGGCCGCCACCGCCAAAGAACCGGCTGAAGACGTCAAAGGGGTCATGGTGACCACCACCGCCGCCTTGCTGCTGGTGGCGCTTCAAGCCCTCGTGGCCATGCTGGTCGTAGATCTTGCGGGTGTTGGGGTCGGAGAGGGCTTCGTATGCTTCGGAGACTTCGACAAACTTGTCTTTTGCGGTTTCATCGCCACTGTAGACCTACGTCAGCTACATCTGACTGTACCGAGTCTACGGAAGACCGGCGTTGGAATACTTACGGGTTCTTGTCCGGATGGTACTTCTTCGACAGCTGGCGATACGCAGACTTGATCTCGCGATCACCGGCGTCGCGTTTTATTCCAAGGACCTTGTAGAAGTCTTCGGCACCCAACACCATATGTAATAATGAGAGCAGCACCAGAAGCACTGCATTTCTTAGTAATCTCATGGCGAAGAGCGGGTAGAGGTGTGTCGTCAGGTCAGATATCGCAAAGGAAGTAAACGTCCGTTCAAAGAGTCGAGAAGGGACGGGCGCAGACTGAAAGGGGGCGCCAATCAATGCAACAAACAGACCCAATGGTAGGGACAATAAAATGAGAGAAAATAAAAATTAAGGAGAGACACGAAGAGGATTCGAAAAAAATGCGACAAAGAGATCTGCCCGAGGCTCACGGAGCATGTGAGGTTGAGGTTGTGGAAGAGTCGAACAGCAGGCACATGGGCGAGGATACAGCGCTGCAGTTCTAGTAGCCACCTATTCCTAATCGCCAAAAGCCAAAGTGTTATCAGTCGTAATTAATCGCCAGGGGTCTCACCTTATCGGCTGTCGCGCTGAGAGGACCCACTCGAGCTGTATTTGTGGGACCGGCAGAATGATTTTGCGTTATCGATAAGCCTCGCGCTAGAGCTGCAGCGCCTATCTAAACATTGCACGTCGGAGGCAGAACGAATGACATTGAAGACAGCGCAAAATGATCGAGCGGCGTCCTTTGCCGGCACGCCTCATTCACCACGCCCTGACCGGTTTCTAGCAACATCCGACAAGCTTTGGACTGGTCTGAGTTTTCTGCAATGTCTGCCAAACGATATGCGTTTGTCGACATGGGTGGCGATGAGGCGGAGGATGTGGCACCGACAAAATCGGATCGAGATCGCAAAAGTCGACGAGATCGCGACAAGGATCGCGACCGACGTCGCGACCGGGAGGACAAAAAATCACGACGTTCACACCGCAGTCTCTCGCAATCACGATCGCCACGACGAAGCACGACGAAGTCCTATAGCAGCCGATCGAAAACGAGCCGACGCAGCGACCGCGATCGCGACGACAAAGACTTTGATGACCGATGGGGCGACGAGGAAGGGCCGCCGTCCGACGAGGTCGAAGATGTAAGAAGAGGTGATGAGGCTGACGACTTCCGAGAATCGGCATGGAAGCGTCTCAAGATGAACCACCGGACGTTCCGGAACCCCGACGCCAAAGACGAGGATAAGGGAAAGGAGGCGGACAGAGACGCGAAAAGCTCAAAGTTTGACGCTGCAAACCTTGACATCGATGACGCGGACCTGTCGGAGGGCACACACGAGGAGTTGATAGCACAACGTGACCGCGCTGAGCGC